GGGGCGGTACGAACAAGTGTACCGCGCAAGGCGGAAAACTCGCCTTCGGCGCTGCGCTCCCATGTCCGCGGGGTAATATGCTCGCGGAGTTCAAATCCGTCAATTCGAGCGTGAGAGTTTAATCGGCGACGGCGGAGCGTGAAGCCGCGCGTGAGAGCGGAGACCGTTCCAGCGTAGAGCCGGCGCGGCCATCAAGTGAGACGTCCTCCACGAGCAAGAGCCGACCATGACCTTCGACCGGGCGGCGGAGAGCGTCCCATTCTTGAATTCGCGATTCCAATCTCTTGTGCGCGCTGCGCGCGTCCATCTGCTGGCTGCTAAACATTCTCGACGTCGCCGCACAGGGGATTTCTTGGTGATTGAGGGAGAAGTGAGTGCGCGTGATTTGGAACTGAGGGCGATTAGAGTTTGCCGAGAGAGAAAGGAGCTCGAGCGGTGCGGAAGTAGAATGAGCGGGCGAGCGAACTCCAGGAACGCAATGACGAGACCGGGCAGATTGCGGATGGTGCCGCTTCGCCTACCACAGAACGGGCTGCGCGCTTTCGAGGAGCGCTTAATAGCAAGAAAGCTCGATTTCTTGCTATGGGGATGGAACTACATCTGTGCGAACATGGTGCGCGAGTGGCTAGAGCCACAGGGACCACCCTCGCGCGGATTGCGTCCGCATGTTGATCGGTGGACAGTCCAAGATTGGGCGCAGGCATTGGGAAGATGTGCCGGCATGCCAGGGCATCTCCTCTTCGACAGTGAGAGCATCAAGGTCACCAAGCAGGAAGAGGCGCAATTTGTGGAGCTGTTCAAGACCGGGAGGTCTACGATTTCGCCGGACTCTGTCCGCGGCGCTGATGCAATTACTGCAGCCACACCGCGCCTGCTACATCACATTGTGGCAGGTCTCTTTTGTGGAGTGCGTCATCGAGGGAACTCCAATTCACTGGGCGAGCATCCTGCACAGGGTGATGCGACAGCACGCTTTTGAGGAGAAGGGGGGGACTCTAAACCATCTCTCTCCTTTCCTCATCAATTTTTATCGACAGCGGAATTGTTTGACAGCGGCGGAGCTTGAGCATTTTCCGCCGTTGTCCGTCGACCATCCCGGGAAGTATGTGCGGGAGAATGAGGTCGACACTGATGCAGAGGAGTCACCGACTTCTACCCCATCAAGGCGGAGGGACGAAGGGAGAAACACTCCTGCAGCACGAGTGCCGCGGAAGCGGCGATGGAGAGAAGAGTCCGAAGAGGAGCAGCATCAAGAACCCTCTGCTCCCATTCGACCGCGGCCGTTGTACGAGTCATACAGCCGGCCGAAGCAGAAGGCACGCAGACTGGTGTTACCAGCCAACAGTGCGGACACGGCGACGATTGCGACGGAGAAAGGAAGTGCGTCGCCAGAGAAGCATGAGGAAGCGCGGACGACCGCAGGAGCAACGGACCACGCTGCAGCCTCGACGGGCGAGAGGCCGCCTACGGGCCAAGGGCCTCCGGAGTTACCACGTGCGTTGCGGACAGGTGTTCCGTTTGCGCACAGACGAGACTCCGCGGACGGACGAGCCTCCGCGGACAGACGATCACAAGTGGACGTAGATCTACGCTTACGCGTGGGAAGGAGCAGTCCGCCTGTGCACAGGCGCTCGCCTGTGCACAGGTCACCTCCACACGTGCCGCCTGTGCACAGGCAGGAATCACCCCCGTTCCAACGTAGGAAGGGGAAGGAGCCGGCGGAAGAGCCGCCTACGAGACACCGGCCCTCGGGGCCGGACCCTCCGGCGCACCACGCGCCGCAATTTGCGCCTTCGGCGCCAGGGCCTTCGAGCCGAGGAGATACGAGCAGGGAGTGTGCGGAGGCCACACTATCGGCGGGTAATCCGCCGGTAGATGCGCCTTCGGCGGTAGGGCCTCAGGGCCAAGGGACATCGGGCGAGCGGCCCCCGGCCATGTCGCCTTTGGCGATGGACGTCCGCGGCGCTACGCCTGCGGCGGACAAGGCGCCGGCATTTGCGCCTGCGCACAGGCCAAGCACAGCCCCCGCGGACCGATCAAGGGAGCAGCAACAGACGGAGGAGCGGAGTGACTGTCCGCGGGATGAAATTTCGATGCGCGATGCGCAATCAAACCCCGCGCAGCCACCCTCCGCTCGATCGCCTTCAGCGGCGGGCGTCGGCGGCAGAGAGGACACGGTAGACGACCAACAAGCGAGCGGCGGGGATGCCGCACGGGCACATTCGCCTACCGCCTTAGACATTTTGGCGAAGAGCAGCGAGGCTGCAGCCGTGCCTTCGCAGGCAGCACACGTCGTTGACGTGCAGCCCCACTCGGGTCAGTCGCCGACGCAATCAATGGCGACTGAAATTCTCCACTCGGATGATGACGACGGAGGCTCCACCGAAGAAATGTCAGGAGCAGGGGACACCGAGGAGGAGGAGGAGGAAATTGTTGGAGCGCCGGCGGCGGCGCTCTCTGAACAGGTGATTCCGTTGCTGAGGTACTTGGATCGCAAAGTCGATAAATACGCCGACCCACTTCAGCCGGGATCTTACATCGAGTTAGTGCGCAGGCGGACTCGCACTAAAGTCCACACCAGCAAGCTATTAGCTAGAGTGGACCAGGAGTTGAGGGAATTGAAGGAGAAGCATGAATGCTTGTGGGGTCAGTATAAACTTAATCAGAAATTCTACAAGTACTCCGAGAAGGTGAGGAATGGGAAACTTGAAGAGCTCACCAGGGAGCAGGTGAAGGTCACAGAAGCACTAATTTCTGAGCAGGCCCAGAATCGGATTTTGTCAGAGGAGCTCGTGCGACAGACGCGGTTGTTGGAACATTGTCAGCTCGCACGGCAGGCGGATGAGGAGGTAATCCGCAGGCTACAGTCAGAGTGTGGCGAATTGAGAGCGCAACGTGCTGAGGCCGAATCGCAATTAGTGATAGTTGAAGAGGATCGCAGGAAGGAGGCAGATCGCACAAAGATGGAGACGGCGAGGCGTGTCGCCCACTGTCTCAAGGGCTACGCCCACTGGGAAGTGGCGGCGCAGGAGAAACTCACACTGCGTGAGTTTGAACTTCGCGCAGCCGGGTTGTTGTCAGGCGACAGTAGGAGTCGGCGGAAGGTAGCAAAGAAGCTCGATGCTTTTCTGTCGAAGGCGCAGGATACCATGTCCGCCCTCGAAGTGGAGGTGTCCGCGGCGTTGCAGCGATTGGGACTGCGCAGTCGAGCGGAAGACTGGCAGGGTAGGGAGTTAGTGCGCGGCAGTCCGCCGCGCAGGAGACGTAGCACAGGTTCCGCGGAGTGTAGTGTAGCGTGGTCCCGTGCAGGCGTGTGGCATAGTGCAGTGTAGTGTTAGGTAGGACTTAGAAGGTATAAAATAGTTCCAGGCGTTTTGCCTGGGGTTCTTTCCCATCAGAAGTGCAGATCAGGAACCCATTTCCTTTGCGTGTTTGTGTCCTTGAGTTCTGTCACCACGCACGAGGAGTTACAACTTAGCGTTCCGCATTTTGTAGCTGAAGGCCTGCGGCCGAATGTTCAGAGCTAGTACATTGGTTAGAGACTTGAGTAGTTCGGATCTGCACCTGCGGGTGACTGCCGATGCTCAGAGCCAGTGACTAGTTAGATACTTGAACAGTTTCGCCCCTACACCTTCGAGTGTTTCTTTCTGATTGTACTCCTTTGAGATTTTTCCCCTGAATGCCAAAGTGAAGTTTTGTTACTTCGTGTAAGCCTTGGTTGTGAATTCAGGTTACGCTGCAGCAGGTGCCTTGAGGGTAACCCCTGTAGTATTTCTGGGAATGACAAGTGCCTGAGAATTCAAACTCTTCAATAGACTGTTGTTGTGTTACTGAAATGTTTCACAGTGAGTCCTTCAGTGCGGACCTGTGTTCTCTGCGCGTTTTGTGAGTTGAGAGTGTTGTTCACCGCGTATGAGTGACTTCGATCCGAAGTAGGCAGTCCAAACCGGGTTTCCTACGCTAGCAGCAAGCTAGCGGAAGTGTTGTAAAAGCCGGAGTTGGGAGTCACTACCCGCAGCTTCGCTGAGTGTACTCTCGAGAGACTTTTCCCCCCTGAAATCTTGAGTAGAGGTCCTAACGGATCTCTGGGTTGTGTTTCTGTAGTTTCAGGTGTGTGTGTGTGTGTGTGTGTGTTACGCTGCACTGTGCGACCTCCGAGTGCGCTCCGAGTGGACACTTGCAGTATTTCTGGGAGTGACAGTCGCCTGAGAATTCAAACTCCTCAATAGTCTGTTAAACGTGACACTTTGTACCCTGTGTGTTCCTCTGTCCCTGTGGGTTCGACCTTTCTACCACTATATTGCAGTTTTAGCCTTTAGTGGGTTATTACAACACTTCTCATACGTTATTCAGGAGCTTTAGATGAGATTATGTGTGACTCAATGATTGAAGAAGTCTTCAACCTTCTCTCTTTCTGTATCTGATGATATTGAAACATCTTCAAACTAGGAAGTTTGTGTTGCACTCCGGGTTTGGACGGGTAAAGTGAAGAAATCTTCATCCATAGGTGCATACTCCAATTACTGAGATAATTCTTCCCAACACATAAGTGTACTAAATAACGTTGATTGGGCCTTCACTATAAATGATATAATCATTCAAACTCGTTTTTGAAGCCAATGAGATTGGTGGTACTATCCAGCATAAATTTTATAGAGGGGGTTTTTTATACCTAAGTGGAGTTAAAATAGTAACTAGTCTTTTTTTAAGTTGGAATAAATCTACTCTGGAAATGAGCAATTTATACGATTTCATATAAAAGTGAGCTTTTATTTCGATTCAAATTTTTACTGAAAATCAGAAGATAGTTCAGTAGAGTGGGCATTTGAAAATATATGAGAGTTAGTCTTTGGCGCTCCAAACGAGTATGTTTATGATTCAAATCGTGAAAATGACAGCTAAACGTACACCGAATTCAAAATGAAATGCTGAGATGACCGGTGACCGATGTGTAACTCACTCACATCACGCCTAACTACAGTAGTCCGTGTTTCGGTCCAGGGCATCAGATCTCCAAACATAACAGGAACTTCTTCCTCGTAGTCTGACCATCCACTCTTCGTTAGTGAGAAGACTCTTCTCTCGTCCACATATCTTACATCTCGCACATATGAAGTTATTGTAGCATAAGATCTTTCTCATCTCAGCGGTTCTGTGGCAACGAGCGTGAGACCTTTTTTCAAGATTTACTCAATATTGACCGATTACTGTCCCTTTCTGAGATGTTCCAGATTTGATTTAGAAACGACCTTCTTCTATATCATCCTTCAAATCTCGTTCATTGCAATGGCTCTCGACAGGAAAGAGTATCGAGCTCAAGATTTATGGGAAAGATTACCTATTGAGTTACTGATTAAGGTTCTCAGAGATTATGATCTGCCAGTTTCCACTCTTGCTGCATGTCGTTCAGTTTGTAAGAAATGGAATGAAATCATAGATGGTCCAGAATTGCGGCACAAAATCTGGAACAAAGAAGTTATTTTTTATGATGCAAGACTTGACAGTACGGCCTACTTTTGCTTTCATGATCGATGGATCAGAAGAAATATTACATTCAAGTCCAAGGTGGTAGTCGCTGCTGATGGGGGCCTAGTGTGTTTCAGTGAAATTTTTTCAACTGAATTTGTTATCTATAACCCAGTTTCGGACAAATTTCTGATTTTAAACGTACCTCATGAAATCGATGGATTACCTACAGTTTTTGATGGTAAGCTGGAGCTCATCATGGTGGGTTTAGTCGTGGACCAAACTACAAAACACTTTAAGCTGGTTTTGGGAGGAGTTCTATTCCCTGATAGACGCAGATCTTTGATTTACAAGTCGACTACCAGTAGATGGTCATGGATTATTGATCCGTTTCCTGCATTGTTGAACTGGATGGAAGTAGAGTGCAAAGATGGGAAAAGTGTTTTATGTAATGGATGTATGTATTGGCTCGTATGGGATCCCACGACCCTGATAATGGCTCTGCTGATATTTGATCTGAGCGAAGAAAGATGGGACGTCATGGCAGAGGAAGTCATGGAGGACACGTCAGATGGCCTTCAGATTACGGCGTATGAAGGTCGTGTGTACTTACTCGCCATGGATTGGACTCATTTTGAGTTTGATCGTAGGATCTATGGCGGAAAGTTTCTCCATCATCCAATGGTCCGGAGAATGGATCGATCTCTGATCGGGAGAACTAGAGATTTATGGGATATGGAGGATGGCAGACCTTTCAAAATTTACGCTGCAGGAGGTAGTGATGTGTTCTTCGTCTTCGACACATTCGACGTCACCGAGGAAGAGGAAGAAGATGAATACCTTGAGGTGGCGAAATACTGGTCTGAAAGAGACGTGATCGAATTTTTACCCGAACCTCCTTTTCGAGAAGGCCATGAAATGTTTGTATGGGCATTCCGTCCAGAAATCGAGCCGAGATTCTTCCGTGACGCTTGGTGTGCAATAATTCCAGCACCCCGAGTAAATGCAGAGCAGAAATGGATAACGCAGCAGCAGAGACATCTGTAGTAGGAGGTGGGGGATTCTCCCATAGAAGAGGACGTAGTGGAAGTCTGAAGAGAGGTTATAGGAATTCGAGGACAGATCAGTTCACCCAAGTATATGTCGTTTGGACTACATCGTTATTGACAACTAGAGTGCCAACTTAAGTTCATGTTAGTCTGGAATGGGCTGGTTGGTTTGTTTATAAGCCAACCAGGTTTGCTCGTACCCTAGAGGAAACTGGATGCTTACGTATTCCCCAGCTTGGGTTACAATAATCTTGCCATCCATTGATAGTTCTTATTACATGTAAGTTGGAAACCAGAAACTTATGACTAGATACTTCCTTTTATTACAAAATAGAGCATTGTGAGATAGAGCTCTCTATTATCAATGAATGCTGAGAGGATATTTCATCCAGGATGACTGCTTGGCGTGAGGCCAAAGGTCACAAGAACAAAAGGATATGCTATGCTTTTTTGGATTCTCTTGCAAGCTTTACCCAAGAATAGCCAATGATGGGTAAGGGTGGAACCACGAAACCCATCAGTAATTTCTAAATTGATTTTTTTCACCAAATGATATACGAACACCACTTGATTTTTAGTGGATTTTTAGTGATTTTTAGTGGAAATAATTCTTTAGTAGATGTGAACCTATGAAATTCGCACTACACGGCGTTACTTTTCTCTACTGTTTGCGCAAAATTATCAACCTCAATATTCTTTGAATACAAAAATAAATATGTTTGTATAGACATATTGAGTGAAATGAGTTTATGTATCGTTTCTAGATGTGATTAATGAATACTGTGAATCGAGTTGAACCTGTTGCTTAGCTGTTTCGTAATTTCATGAACCAACTTTCAAAAATACTTTTCGTGTATGGAATTTTTTGTTGAGACTTTCGTAGAAATTAATAAGCCTTAATTACTCAGCATCTGCTCAAAATCAATAGAAGCTGTTCGGAAGACACCAATTGTCAAATTCCCGAGTTAGTCCATATTGTGGTGATCATACCAGGCTAGATTATCTGATCTCTCTTGTGAACAAAGTGCTACTCAGCATATTTCATCAAATGGCCTGAGGTGTGCAATATTGGAAAGTACTTGTTGATGAAAACCGTCAAAGGACATAACCATCTCAAAATCATTATTGTACTCATCTAATGAGACTTATTTCCTTAGTGAATGATGTGAGGTCCTATGTACATAAGTTGTTTCACTAAGCTTCAAAAGCAATGATAAGAGTATACTGCCATGAAGTTGACTGCAGTCCACGTAAATATTTCAATCAATATCAAACAAGCTCATACCCCGAAAATGTAATACGATATAGAGTAGTCATGCATTTGAACAATATCAGGAAAAAAAATTCAGAAAATACTGGTAAATTGAATTTGAAAAACACTTTAATACAAGATCTATGATTATAATGATCAAGTCTACAACTACCTACATCATGGAGCAACAGTGAAGAAAAACGTCAAACCTTAAGAGGACGGCTAGTTTATTCAGAGTGTTAATAAATAAGTGATACTTATCCTTGGGGATAATATATTTCCTCGTAGATTGGATTTATACTATCCGTAATTTTAAATAATTGTAGCAAAATTAACGGTAAATTTGTGAGGAGGAAGATTAAAAATGAATGAATGGTAGATGGGTTGATGAACAAAAGATAAAACTGTAAATCAATTGCCTTCAGCATATCCATTCATAGAAGAATATTTCCTCTTTGAAAATATGTTGACGCCCCAGGTAGAGGTCAAGAGTTATCAGTCATTTTTGAAGTTCGAGGGTATTTACTCTTCAAGAATGCTTAAATCAACATAATATTAGATTCAAATTATATTTCATACTATCGATAAATACAAAAAGATAGCTCAACGGATAGCTCACGGTTGAGAGAATCTTTTTTAAATTGTAAATAGTACGTTTATACTTCAAACTGTGAAATTGACAGTTCAACGAACGCGAAATCCAAAATGATACGATGAGATGACCGATGCATAAGTAACTGTCAACCGATACTAATCGGTGTTAAGGTCGATGACTTCAGAGTTCGGAACCTCAGTAACGGGAACTTCTCTCCCGTTCTCTGTCCCCTATCTGACATTTTCGTCGATATGGGACAATTTCCCCTATGTTAAAACTCTTCTCTTGTCCAGACTTCTGCAGCGAGCGTTCTCAAGTTTGACAGCTGCTTCACAAGTATATATGCAGATATTGCAACACACACTTGTTTACAATTGTGCCTATCTGTTTCAATCCGCGTGAGAATTGTTGTCGAAGTGAACTCACAGTAGACTGAGTAATAGTTCCTATCGATATGTTGCAGATTGCAGATTCAGAGATGGCCTCATATGTATGATTTTTCAAAAGCTCGTTCGTTAAAATGGGAACCGAAAGAGATCAGCATCAACCGGAAGATGCATGGGAAAGTCTACCTATCGATTTCCTGATCAAGATTCTCAGAGATCATGATCTGCCAATTTCCACACTTCTGGAATGTCGTTCAGTTCGTAAGAAATGGAAGGAAATCATAGATGGTCCTGACTTACGGAATAAAATATGGAAAAATTCTGTTATTGTGTTTACTGCAAGTCTTCAAGATACGGCCTACTTCTGCTGTAGAGATCGATGGATCACAAGGAATCTTACATTTAGGCCCAATGAACTGGTCGCTGCTGATGGAGGCCTACTGTGTTTCGGTGACCGATTTTCAACAGCATATGTCATGTACAACCCAGTTCCGGACAAGTTCCTGCTTTTAGACGTACCTCGTGAAATCGATGGAGAAGATACAGTCATTGTTGGTATGCCAAAGTGTAAGGTGGTGGGTTTAATCGTGGACCAATCTACGAACAACTTCAAGCTAGTTTTGGGAGGAGTTCTGGTCGCAACAGATAGACTCAGAACTTTGATTTACGACTCGACGACTGGTAGATGGTCGTGGGGAGTTCATCCGTTTCCTGAATGGATGAAAAACGTGTGGGGTATTGGGAGAAGTATAGTATGTGATAGATGTCTGTATTGGCTCGTATGGGATCCCTTTAGGGGCAAGATGAGGGCTCTCTTGATATTTGATCTGGAAAAGGGAACGTGGAACGCCTTGGTAGAGGAATCCATGGAGGGCACGCCAATCAACCTTCAAATGGCTGCGTATGAAGGACATGTGTGCCTACTCACCAGTAACTGGAAACCTCTGGAAGAGGAGTTTGATCGAAGGAGCGATGTCGCCAACTTCCTCCGGAATCGAATTGTCCGGAAAATGGATGGAGCTTTGATCAGGAGAGTAAGAGGTGTATATGATGGAGGTTTGATCACGAGACATATACTTCGATGGAATATGGACGGTCCAAATGATGAAGCTGCTGCCAGGAGATTTATTTATCAATGGGCTCGAGGTTATCCCACAGTTTTCAAATTCTATGCCACAGGAGGCAGTGATGCATTTTTCGTATTTGATGAAGAACGTAAAGAACTTGATGTGGTGAAATATTGGGCTGAATTAAACTTGATATTTTTCCTACCCCAACCTCCTTTTCACTCAAGAAATCCTTTGCAAAACTTTGTATACGCTCCGAACCCCATTGACCCTTGGTGCGCAATAATTCCAAGTCCCAGAGGAAGTGCAGGGCACGGGTGGATAAGACAGCAGGAGTTTAAAGCACAGGAGCAGAGACGGGAGGAGGAAGATATGCGGGAAGCTCCTACGCAAGCTCTTGGGCAATTTGGTTGACGAGGCAATGGAATTTCTATGAGAAGAAGAGGAGTGTTATGACCTTTAGGACAGATTAGCTCACCGAAATATGGGTCCTCAAAAATTTATTTCTCTGCAGGATGTTAAGATGGCATTGGTTTAAGAGGGTAAAACAGTGGATTCAGATCACTCTTCCGAAAAGCGGAAAAAATTCCTTTTCTTGGTAAATAACCTTACATTTGATTCTCGATCCAATTACGGCTCAAGGTAGAGAGATATCTAGATTGTTTCTGAACGTAACTACACAATCCAGTATACTATAGGTCAAATTAACAAAGCGATCAATATCATCTACAATGCACCTTCGATATCATTATATACCGAAAATGGATATATTCAACCCATTCAGTATTGTCTTCTGACTTTCCATCCAATTGCATGTTTTTCGTTGATCTGAAAAATATGAGAACAGCGACGTCGACTATTCTCGACAGTAGCTGATCAAAGGGCACCAAGTCGTTGTCATATTTGTTGAGATGAACAATATCATTGTCTGACAGTTCCCTAGCTATAGGGAACTATAGCTAGGTTAGTTTATCCCCATCGGGGTAACAGTTATCATCAAGTTTCAGGTTATAGCTTCCCTACATTCTACTCACAGAGACTAAAATTATATAGCAACTATTAGTAGTATAGACAAATATATCAATTTTTATGCTACTCAATATCAAATGAACTCAATTGAGTGAAAGAGTTCAGATTGATCTCTTTAAGATATTAAGCTTCTCATGGGATTTGCCTCATCACATAAACGTTGTAAGAGATTATGACTTACTCATACATATTAGACTAGAGCAGCCATGAGAACTGTCATAGTATTATAGATTTTATGTTGAGAGCAATATTATGAGATATCGTCAACCTAATAACTCGGAGGGGTTTTCTCTTAAGTCACAATTTCGTTCTTCTTGCTTTCTAATCTTGGTGGAATTAGAGAAGAAGACATTTTCTTTCCCACGTAAATACTCTTTGATAAAATATAACAATAAATGCATCATCAACTTGTTCAATTTCAATTTTTTGTCTTAAACTATTGCTCTCGCTAAAATCTGACCATTTTTGCACATTCTTTAAAGAAACTTCCGTTGTAAGTTCTTTTTTTCCCTAACTCATTACACATTTCATAGGAATGAGAGCTCCAGTTTTTTAAATGAAATCTCCAACAATTATTCGATTCCAAAAAATTTGAAAATCTCAGTTTCATGATATAAGAATTCAATATGATATCACAAAAAATATCAACATATTTATGAATAAACAAAAGAATTTAAGATTTTGATGTGATGGATAGAAAAGTAAATCTTTCGGATTTCATTTTTTAACTCAACTTTAGTAACAAAAATAAATTTGGTTTTGAATCAAGAACTTCTTTCTACATAATTTTATTACCAAGCTTTTACTTTACATCAACTTTTACTTTGTAAGACTCTTGTGATTATCTTATAATTAGTCACAAGGAGTCTTACATATGGGCCCAAGCAGGTTGTCGCTGCTTATGGAGGCCTACTGTGTTTCGGTGAACGATTTTCAACAGCATATGTCATTTATAACCCAGTTTCGGACAAAATCCTACTTTTAAAGGTACCTCGTGAAATCGATGGAGAACATACAATCAATAATGGAATGCTGAAGGCGTAAGGTGGTGGGTTTAGTCGTGGACCAATCTACAAAAAACTTCAACCTGGTTTTGGGAGGAGTTCTGATCGCAACAGATAGACGCAGAACTTTGATATACGACTGGACGACCGGTACATGGTCGTGAGGAATTCATCCGTATCCTGAATGGATGAAAGACGTCTGGGGTATTGGTAGAAGTGTAGTATGTAGTAGATTTCTGTATTGGCTCGTATGGGATCCCTCTGGTCGCAAGATGAAAGCTCTCTTGGAGTGAAGGTGGAACGCCCTGGTACAGGAATTCATGGGGCCCCGCCAATTGACCTTCAAGTGGCTGCGTATGAGAAACATGTTTGGCTAGTTGCCAGTAATTGGTCTCCTTTCGAAGGGGAGTTTGATCGTAGGAGCGAATTTCCTCCGAGATTCCATGGTCCGGAGAATGGATGGAGCTTTGACCAGGAGAGCTAGAGATATATTTGATCGAGGTTTCATCACGAGACGGATGTTTGGATAGAATATTGACGAAGCAATGGATGAAGCTGTTATCAGGAGATTTATAGATCAATGGGTTCTAGATTATCCCACAGCTTTCAAATTCTATGCCACACGAGGCCATGATGCATTTTTCGTGTTCGAGAAGAACGTAAAGAACTTGATGTGGTGAAACATTGGGCTGAATTCGACTTGAAATTCTTTCTACCCCAACCTCTTCACTCACGCAATCGGTCTCAATGCTTTGTTACCCTCCGAGCCCTGACGACCATTGGTATGCAATAACTTCAGCTACCAGAGGAAGTGCAGGGCAGGTGTGGATAAGACAGCAGGAGTATGTAGCACAGGAGCAGAGACGTATGAAGTAGGAGGTGCGGGGAAGGCTTTCCTTTCAAACGAATTCTAATAAGCTGATTCAATAGCGTGAAGATGGGAAATAGATTTTCAGCTTCAGACGTGTGGGGGGTTTTATTACTATTCAGTCATATTATAGAAAAATAACTATTTATTTAACCTTTTTTTGGAGATTATTATCATCATTTCTATTTTTGTTCATGTCTGTTTCTTTGGTTATTAACATGCAAGATTAATTTTTGAATATGTGAGTTACGTTATTCGCTACAAGTAATGTTTGTAAATTATATTTTCTTGGAATAACAATGTATATATGATTAAAGTCAGATGATTAATATCAGAGTAGTCCAAGATCTAGTATAAAATAATATTGTAGATTACTTCCCTTGGTTACGTTTGATATCACAAATATGTATTTTGTGATAAGATTTGCATGTGCATGCCTCTTGTGTCAACTTATTTAGCAAAACTCTATTGTGAAAGATGATTGTTGCAATAAGAATCTACGTTACTATTGGCACTAAAATATTTGTTATGGCCGATAAGCAAATTAATGTACATAATTCTCAAGGATAGAATATAAATTCAATCAAAAACAATTTCAAGTTAAAAAATAGCTCATGGAGAAATCAAGATGTTTTTTTAGCCCAAAGTAGGAGTTTGAAGGTTTTAGGAGATGGAGTTGATATTAAGACTTATGAAAAATTACTTTCTGAATTTGAGGGTTTCAGATTGCGACTTTGATCGAAAATAGCCTTTCTAGAAACCTATAAGTTCTGTACTAAATAGTGAATGTGACTCCAGTCAGATCTGGTATGATTATGAGCAAAATGACATTGTGTACATTTCGGGTGTAAATTACATTTAAACTCAGAGAATTGAAGCAAAGAATATGACTTTGAATTCAATGTTAAATGGAAGTGTATACAGACAACATTAGAGACATTTTCACATATACAATTCATCAGTCTCATTCTTTTGTAACAATGAATCGCCTTTGGCCTTGAAAGATGTGAGTTGGGAGCCTTAGTAATCAAAGACTTTTTGTAGTCATTTGTGCAATCAGAAGACTACAATCCAGACTAGAGGAGAAAAGAGGCTAATCAGAACACACATCTCCACAAGTATCTCAACAAGGTACGTGGTGGTAATTAGCGCGAAGATTACCTTCCTACCATGAAAGCGCTCTCTAGTTTTCCTATGAACATAAGTTAGACTTTATCTATGCCTCAGTGGAATTAAGGGAGTAATTAGTCACATTTCCAAGTTCGAACAAGTCAACGCTGGATATAAGCGATTTATACGATTTCATATAGAGGTGAGCTTTTATTCCATTTGTAATTCTATTCAAATTATTATTGAGAATCAGAAGACAGTTCAGCAGTGTAGGCATTTGAAAAGAGGATGAGAGAGAGTCTTCGGCGTTCCAAACGAGTAGGTTCTTACTTCAAATTGTGAAAATGACAGTTAAACGTAAACCGAAATCTAAATGAAATCCTGAGTTAACCGATGCGTAATTCAATCGCAGTCACGCCTACTAGTCCGTGTTTCGTTCCACGACATCAGATCTGCGAATAGGCCAGGAACTTCTCTCTTGTAGTCTGACCATCGACTCCGTGACGACGTGAGTGATACGACTCTTCTCTCGTCCACACATCGCACATATGAAGTTCTCGTTGCATCAGATCTTTCTCATCTGAGCCCATCTGTGGCAACGAGCGTGAGATTTGTTTTCCAAGATTTACTCGCAATTGACTGATTACTGTCCCTTCTGAGATGTTCCAGATTTAATTCAGAGATCATATTCATATGTATCATTCAGGGCTTGTTCTCTGCAATGGAACTCGATAGAGAAGTGGATCGACCTCAAGATCTATTGGAACCCCTACCTGTTGAATTACTGATAAAGGTTCTCAGAGATCAGGATCTGCCAGTTTTTACTCTTGCGGAATGTCGTTCAGTTTGTAAGAAATGGAAGGAAATCATAGATAGTCCGGAGTTACGGAACAAAATCTGGAATAAATCTGTTATTTTGTATGATGCATGCATTGACAATACGGCCTACTTCTGCTTTCATGACCGATGGATCACAAGAAATATTACATTTGGGCCCAAGCAGGTGGTCGCTGCTGATGGAGGCCTACTGTGTTTCAATGAACTGTTCTCAACCGAATATGTAATGTATAACCCAGTTGAGGACAAATTCCTGACTTTGAACGTACCTCATGATATCGATGGAGTATCTGCAGTCTTGGATGATAAGCTTGAGTGCATCATGGTGGGTTTAGTCGTGGACCAATCTACAAAACACTTCAAGCTGATTTTGGGAGGAGTTGTAGTCACAGATAGACGCAGATCTTTGATTTACGATTCGACTACCAGAACATGGTCGTGGATTAGTCATCCGTTTCCTACATTGCTAAACTGGATGGAAGTAGAGTGGCACAGTGGGAGATGTGTAGTATGTAATGGGTGTTTGTATTGGCTCGTATGGGATCCCACGGTCATGATTAAGGCTCTCTTGATATTTGATCTGAGAGAAGAAACCTGGAATGTGTTGGCAGAGGAAGTAATGGAGGACAAGCCAGGTGCCCTTCAGATTCTTGCGTATGAAGGATATGTGTGTTTACTCGCTATGGATAGGACTGATGTGGAATTTGATCGTAGGAGCTATGATGGAAACTTCCTCCGCCATCCAATGGTCCGGAGAATGGATGGATCTCTGATAAGGAGAACAAGAGATCTATGGGTTATGGGGGATGCCAGAGCTTTCAAAATTTATGCTTCGAGCGGCAGCGATGTGTTCTTCGTCTACGAGGAAGTAACTGTAGACGTTGAGGTGGCGAAATACTGGGCTGAAAGAGACATGATGTTTTTTTTACCCGAACCTCCTTTTCGCGGAGCCCCTGAATTTCGTTTATTTGGATTTCTGCCACATGTTATCCATGACCCTTGGTGTGTTATAATTCCGGCGCCCGGAGTAAATGCAGAGCAGGAGTGGATAACACAGCAGCAGAGACATCTGTTGTAGGAGGTGGGGGATTCTCCCGGGGAAGATGACGTAGTGTAAGTCCGAAGAGAAGTTATAGGAGTTTCAGGGCAGATTATTTCATGAATTATAGGTCGTTTTAACTGCATGGATTTTAACAACTAGATGTGTGCAAGCGTGATATTGTCGAAGTAGTTTAGTAGGGTGGAAAAAAAAATCAGATCCCCCTTCCGAACAGCCAAACACGTTTTTTCTATACTTTGGTGCCTAACCATGCATAAAAATATCCTTCTTAAATACATGAAGTCATGCTTAATCTAGGATGTTAAATGATCTGAATGAAATTGCAGCACTGGATTGTTAAAAATTATCCACTAGACTGTAGGTTGAACTGACAGGGCGATCAACGTCTCCTACAATGATAGCAGTTGAAAATAGAGATCTCCACTTTTCTCTTCAATGACCGCGACGGTTGCTGATCCAAACTCACCGAGTCGGTGTCATGTTCATTGAGAACAACTATGGCACTGGATGATGAATTCTTAAAAGCCAAGTTTGTTCATACCGTCGAGGATGCTGGATGCTTAGATCTTCACTTGCTCAGGTCATGAGTTTATACGTTGTCCAGGATTTTAGGCACTTCAATTTCCGGCGAGTATACGAGTATGAACGTCGTGAAGAAGAAGGGGATAAAAGCATGATTAAATACTTCCTGCTTGTCTCAATGTTATCGATACATTTTTGTAATCACTAAAAAATTGCAATAAATTAGTGAAATTATTGGTTGGTCTCTGGTGAAGGTTAAACTTTTAGTGCGAAGGTTTAAGTACGGCAATCATGCCATACTTGAACCCGTTCCTCGTAAATTACAAAGACCAAGATAGTCCAAATAGAATACTTCCATACTTGTATTATGTGTAAAAGATGCATAATGTTGAACACTTGGATAAAAATTTTTACAATATTGATAATTAAAAATATTTTATCAGTTCCCTTTTGTTGGTCATTTTTTCCAAATCAGGGATAAATTATAAATCTGATTTTTTGTTAAGAAATGTGATCACTAGTCTCTGCTCTATAGAAATCCCCTATCGAAGCTAAAACTATGATATAAGGCCTTCCATGACGTTCCTTATGTAAAAGATGTGCAAAGTATATACTTTGGATTTTGTACGAGGGTCCAAGCCTTCTAGGGTCATTATCTGTGTATCAGTAAATACGTGGAATGTGGTAAGTACATTCTTAAACCTTTTGCCAAGTTTAGTTGTCATTGTCTTTGAAGAGTTCGAAAGCTTCTAGATTGGGCACATTAAGCACAAGTCGTTGGTTGTAAAGGATGTAACTTGGCTGTAAAATATTCTTCATTCTACCAATTTCTTTGTGAAATCTCGCAAGTTTTTCTATCCATCCGTACTGCTAGTAGTTTCTTATTAATTTCTCCCTGGTGTTCTAAATATAGAAGATGGAGCTTTTCAGGAAGCTTTAGTGTTAATGTTAAAAGTCAGAAGTTTCAGCTGCGGTTAGGAATTGATGAAGTTTGTTACTTCTTTTGATTATATTTGTGAGTACAAAAATACGTTTACATGTCATTTTAACACTATGAAAATGAAAATTTTAGATTTAAAATTTTGGAAAATTATGCTTGAAATTTTTTGATAATTTTTGTAAAATTATGAGTTCAAACAATGGTTAGGAGAGATAGGGGAAATTGATTAGTGTTTAACCTAGCAAACCTACATCAGTGTTTGCAATCAGATCATTACTCGAGGAATATGCTAGGTCCCAGCCAGCGAAGAAGTATTTTATGACAGAGGCAAGAAAAATACTTAGGAAAGGATTAGCTAGGTATTCTCCAGAATGCTGAGAGGGATTACAGAGGAGGGAGGCACGGGAAAATGGACGATGGAGGGAGGAAGGAAGGTTGGTATGCAATTCTATTCTACAGCGGAAGAAATTTGGACTGCTTACAGGATGGCTGAATTTGCATCCAGACAAATTCAGCAAAGTCTTGCCTAGCCGCAACAATGTCCAGAGGCCACCGCCCGATTTCAGAGTATCAACCAAGCGAATGAAGTTCTCGGATTTAAGGAGGGATTAAAGGATTAGAAGGGTAGTTCCTAATTTTGTTACGGTTGGATCTGAAGATGATGGTTCTCGAGGACGTGAAGATGAGGAATTCCGTTGGAACGGATCTGGAATCGGCGGCATTCTCCGACAATTCTTCAGATTGAGCGTGTCTCTCGGTTCAGTTCTTTATTTACTACCATAGGATTGGCTCTTCAAACTCGCCGATAGTTTGGACTTCTTTCACATCAAAGCTTCGGACTTAACGAAGTAAAGTGTGACAGATATTCTGTGCAATATTGCATGGCATTTGTGCCGGTGAATGAGCAATGCTTAATGTGATATGTTTCAGAAATTTTAGAATGTCAGACTCTAGGACTGTTAAATGCACAGGAAGTTACAGCAGGTAATCCGAGCGCGTTCAGACAGATTCACCTGGAGTGAAGGTGACCCGACGTGCATCTGAACGAAGGTTCTAAGCTATGATCTGACATAGACCTGCATCTGGATTGGATCTTGAAGTTGTTTAAAGAATTGCGGCCAGATAGAAATCGATAAAATTTGGGGTGCCACGCGATGAAAGAAACCAAGGGGTAGGATAACGCTAGGCCCAAATACCATGTCCACCAGCTACAACCGCATTTCCTTTTGACAAGAAATTTTCAGGATATGTACAATTTCCTTGAAAAACATATTTTGGTAAAACAATGCGTCAGGTAGACCTGAGAATGCTATGACCTGTTGATATTTCATTCTCAGTGATTCACGGCCTACTCTGGCCACTCTGAGCTAGAGAGACTCCATCCGCACTGTTTGAAGGATACCTTCCAACCTGGCGTATCCTTCCATACTATCCATCCCCGGCACCATGGCCGATTCACAACTGACTGAGGGTACTCTAACTGGCAGGGATGCCGCACTTGATGGCTGAAACTTGATACAATTCCGTGTGATTTCTCTTTTAAAGCCAGAACAAAGCAGTAGGTTGGTGGGTGAGAAAGGTACTTGAAGCAATTTTTCTGCTTCATCTCATTATATTTCAAACCTTGCTTCTTGACATGTTTAGCAACATCCCGTGGAGCTCTGCAGCGGCCTGAAGATGAAAATATGAATGTTGTATGCTTAAGTTACAAGACCAGCCTAAAACCTACCCAACGATAGCACGTATTCGATACTGGAAAAACTGACTGAAGAACATGAAATGCTCGAAGCCTGCTTGCCAGATTAGTCATTTTCATGCTAGATTTAAGACTATTTGGAAATGCTTAGAGAACTGTAAATGGTACGGGGAAACGCATCGCCGTTCTCGCGTGTGCAGAACAGAATCATGTTGTGATTTCATCTACTGAGCTTTCACGTTGCTCGACTCCGCTTCGTAAACAGTCTGAGCGGTTGTGCACGCCAACGATAAGTGATTAAGTAACTCTACACTGCAGGGCCCTCTGCCGGACAGATCTCATTACTCGGTCGGTAGATTCAATGAAACAATGTCATGATACTTTTCATTTGCAGTTTCAGATACTGGTAGTACATCTTACAAACTTCTAACAGCCGCTGCTGCTGATATTAGGTGCAAGTCTGTTTTTACTCTATCGGATCTGTCGGAGGATATTACTTGATGGACCCCTTTATGGACTTTGCTCTATAGAGTGGAGAATGTCCACCACTTTCGGGCCAAAGTATTCTGGCAACTCGTTTGCAGCAGTGTGTAACAAAATGACTAACATCATGAGTTTGAATTACTCCGGATATGGTATTGCCCTTACTTCATGTTCTACTTGAACTACCCCAAGATAGTATTAGAACATCGTTGACGGTGGGGTTGCATGGCCGTCGATGGGTCCTGTCATGTAAAATGAAATCTGTTGGTTCCCATAAGTGTTTTGAGTTTCCCTGGTACCATCAAGTAATTTCCTAGACCTAATGCATTCTATATTATGGTATTAGGTTGTATACAGGAAGTTCACAGTACGCCATTCCTGTTCTACCTCACAAAATTCCGAAATTGGAATCGGTGTCAACCTCTCATGGATATTACATCATTTCTTTCTAAAATTGTAATGCGTCGTTCAAAGCTTCACGCGAGAATCCCTAGTCCAGATTGTTTGGACCAGTGTAGGCTTCTGTTTGCGGATAATTTGCAGGTCTTGACTATTAATGAATAACATCCCGAAGTCTTCGCCAACTTGCGCCTAAAGTATCTCATATCAAACTTCTTTGTTCTTGTTATTCAGGTAACCTCCGCCTCCTAAACCAAGGGTTTAAGCGGCGCTAACATGGTTAGGCTGTCGGCTAACGCAAGTGCTTTAACTTTGCATGCACTCCACATAAATTCTGCCGTCAGCAATGAAAAATTGACAATTGTCCAACAGATCACAATCATCGAATAAATATGATTTTTCAAAAGAGATTGATGAGAAAAGACTTGAAAACTTAAATTTATTTTTTATTTAATGCATAATTAACGTATTGTTATTTTGTCGAACTCCATAATGTTATTGAGTTTAAAACTAATTTTCCTAAAATTGTGAATTTCTGATTTAAAGTTTACTCTCATTCACATTTATCACTCCTATATTTTTAAAACTCATTATGTTTATAGAAGGTTAAAATCAATCTACATGCATATATTTTTGACATAGTATCTCCATTTATCAGACAAAATATTAATTTATTGACATCCTAATATGATTTTCAAAATCTTTTTTTTTTATGGAACAAGATTTTATGTAAAGAAATTCTCAAAACTTGTTTGAGAGTTTATTATTCAACTCTCTATTTTTAATATTTGATGAATTGGCAAACCAATTTATTATGATAAGTAAATTTATCTTGAAATATACAACTAAGTTTTATAAGGCGATAACATATTATTGACATACAAAAATTTCTAAAAATCTTCTTTGTTCTTAGGTTAAGTAGATCATAAGTCATAAAAACATTTGACAATTCCAAAACTTTTAGGCCACAAGAGAATTTTGCTCTCAATATAATCCACATTGAAACTTCATTTTTATTTGGTATCCACAATTTGTTCCTTATGTAGGATACTTACGTCTTGAATATCTGACTTGAAATCTTTCATTCAATTCCACTCAATATCTAGGGTCGTATTCAACACAGTATGGCATTTTTCAACAATTCATTCATGATACTCCTTAAGCATTGGACCAATCTCTCCCATAAACCTTAAGTGCTCTTGTTTTGCCTA